GGCATTCCCGTGGCCCTGCTCAGCTACAAAGACATGCTGGACATTTTCGAGGTAGGCTCGTCCCCCGCCCTGTCTGCAACTGGGCCCAGGGCCTGAGGAGACGGTGTGCCCGCAGTGCTGTGAACGTCAGGAATGGAGACCCCGGACCTCCCCCATGCCAGAGACCCTGGGTGTCACCCCCTGCTCAGGCCTGCCCAGCCCCTCGCCCGGCCCGGCCCGGCCCTGTCTGACCAGAGGCTGGTGCGTCTTTGATTTGGGGAGCTGGGTCCTGAGCAGGCGAGCTGCAGCACACAGTGACATGGGGATAGCCAGGTTCCCCACTGCAGGCTTCGCGTCTCCCCCAAGGGACCCACCGTCCGTCTCCGGGCCGCTTCCCAGGCCACGTCCACCCTCATTCACTCATGCTTGTCTGGGGGCGGGGTCTGTGTTCCCACACACACGCGGCCCTGTCACCCACCTTGTGTGAAGCTCATCCCGGCAGAGCCCGCTTCTCTGGGGTCAGGAGTAGCAGATGAGGGCATGGGGTGAGGCGGGATCTCCCGGCCCCCAGCTCCTCGAGTGGGCCAGCCTCGGCCCTCTGGGTGGTGAGGGGACGGGTGGGCCCCCCCGACCTTAGCTCTCTTGTGTTCCCTGAGGCAGACTTTCGGCCGGGTGGTACGGGCAGCACTGTACGCCCCCAAGGAGCCCATGCTGGACTACAACATGGTCATCATCTTCATCATGGCTGTGGGCACCGTTGCCCTCGGGGGCTACTGGGCCGGGAGCCGGGACGTGAGGAAGTGAGTGGCCTGCGCGTGTGCGTGCGTCCCGGATGGGCGGCTGTAATGCTGGGCAAGTAACCACGAGAGTCTGCGTGCCCAAAGAGCCTTCTCGAAAACAGCTGCTATAAACACCCAGGAGACCCGTTGAAAGCCCCGAGGGCCCTGCTCCCCACGATTCTGTCCTGCCTCAGGGTTCCCGGCCCGGGCCCAGCCTGGCGGGGGCGTCCACAGGAGACCTCTCCCCCGCCACCCAGGGGAGGGCGGTGGTGGGGTTGGTGCAGGGCCAGGGTCCAGGGTGGCCCCCATGCGGCCACCACAGCTTGGCCCTGGGGACCGAAGCCCCACCTCCGGCAGGACTGGCTCCGTCAGGGAGGACCCCAGATACACATGGTGGGCGGGGACAGGGGACTGGCCGACGGGGCAGGTGACGGTGGTCACCTCCGGGCAAGCTGTCCCTCAGCCTGTCCAGACCCCTTGTGTCAGGCTGCCCCTGCCTGTCCTTCCCCATCTCTGTGGCCCTCGGCCCCCGGGAGCGGTGCCGGCCGGTAGGGCGTCCCCCAGCCCGTTCTTATCTTTCAAGGAGGTACATGAAACACAAGCGGGACGACGGGCCCGAGAAGCACGAGGACGAGGCCGTGGACGTGACGCCCGTCATGATCTGTGTGTTTGTGGTCATGTGCTGCTCCATGCTGGTGCTGCTTTACTACTTCTACGACCAGCTCGGTGGGTCCCCGGCCCCGGCTCTCAGGCGTCGGGTGAGGGGGGAGTCCAGGGGCCGTGTGGTAGGCGGTGGCTACCTGTTGCTGGCTCACCAGGAGGGGCCTGGGGCTACCCCCTCCTTCCCTTGGGGTGGTCACCCTGCCAGGGAGTGAGGCACAGAGCAGTCCTTCAGGCTCCCCTCACCGCCCGCCCCGCCCTGCAGTCTACGTCATCATCGGCATCTTCTGCCTGGCCTCCTCCACGGGCCTCTACAGCTGCCTGTCGCCGCTCCTCCAGAGGCTGCCGTTCTGCAGATGCAGGTGAGCCCCCGGGCGACCCCCACCTGGCCCTGCTCGCGGGGGTCCCCCTCTGCTGCCTTGTGGCTCCCACCTCCCATTGCCCGGCCCCCGGAGGCTCCACAGCTTTGCTGAGGCCCAGGACCTTCGCTCTCCGGAGCCCTCGGTCAGTCTGGCATGGTGCAGGCATTACAGCAGGCGTCCACTCCGTGCTGGCTGGGGGCTCACGGGCCCCACCTCCAGCCCCTGGGTGGGCCTCCCGTTCTGGCTCAGGGCCCGTGGGATCCCTCGGGGGACGTCAGCTGGGGGCAGCAGGCGGGCGGCGCTGCTGATCCAGGCTCCAAAGGTTCCCTGCAGTCAGGGGTCTGGTCTGCTTCTCGTGGGGCAGGTGGGAAACGGAAGGGTTTAGATGAGGTCCGACGGGGGTCAGGAAGCTTGGCTCAGGGGGCTTGGGGGAGGGCCAGGAGCAGGGAGGGCTGTGCGAGAGGGGTCACAGCACCCAACGAGGGCTCCTGCGGGTGGGGTCGGCTTAGCGACTGGCTGAGGTCCGGTGGCTTCCCCCAAGGCCCTGCCCCTGCCCGCTCTGCCCTGCCCTGCCCTGCCCTGCCCTTGGGAGCCTCCCTTCTAGAAATAAAAGGTGAGGGATGGTGAGTTTAACAGATAAGGTAAAGTAGAGGAAGGGGCAGGGCCAGGGGTGGCCCCTGGGAGCAGAGCCCGGCGGACAGTAGGAGGACAGACAGGGAGGCCACGGGCTTTTGGGCAGGAGTTGAGCTGACCCTCCGGGTGCTGGGCAGAGGCAGGGCTGTGAGGGTCAGAGGCCGCTGACCTCCCCACCTGCCTGCCTGCCCTCAGGGTCCCCAACAACAGCCTGCCCTACTTCCACAAGCGCCCTCAGGTCTGCATGCTGCTCCTGGCGCTGCTGTGCGTGGCCGTCAGTGTGGTGTGGGGCGTCTTCCGGAACGAGGACCAGTGAGTGCAGCCCTGGAGGCCCTGCTGGGGGTGGGTGCAGCTGTCCTCGGGTGCTCTGACCTCCCTGCGACTCCCCGAGCCTTCCGCTCGGGGCGCCTGGAGCTGGGCCAGCTCCCGGTTATGAAAGGCTCTCCTGTCAATGCTCTGGACGCAGTGACTGCACGCTGTCCAGGCCTGGCCCTGGCTGCCCTGTGGCTTGTCCGGTGCCCCGGGATCTGCGATCGCAATCTGGGCGTAAGATGCCGCCGGCACTGCTGCCTGGGCGCCGAGCCGTGTGCTCCAGGGCAGCCTGGACGTGGCCTGGCGCCGCTCGGCCGCTGCTCCGTTGTGGTGCCCGCCTGCCTGCTCAGCTAGCTCTGCTTCTCCCAACACCCCCCGCTCCGGGGGGCCTCCCCCGCGAGGCAGCGCGCCACCACCTGCCGTCACTGACACCATCTGGCACTTTCTCTGAGCTTCTCCCGGGGCAGTTAAACGCTCTTGGCTGTGCTGCTGTTTGGAGCTACAACAGATTTAACTGGCAGAAGGAAAGCATGAAAATATTTTGAGTCCTTTGTACACAAAGAGAATAGGGACGCTCACGGTGAAATCCAAGCCAGAAGCCTCGCTCCTTTGCATAAAAGTAGAACAGGCCGTGCTTCCGCCATGTCTGGGCGCCCACGTGGCCTTGGTGACCTTCTCTGTTCTCACCAGCGCCCTGGCCCAGAGAGCTTCTCATCCTACACTCAGATGAAGCTCTGATGAGTAGCTTGAGGGGCAGGGAGGACGGGGCCGGCTGTACACGCGGGCTTCATCACACAACTTTGACTTCCCAATTCGGAAGTGGCCCCGCAAGGGTGGCGCCCTGCTTCCCAGGACTCCAGGTGATGTCCTCAGGGCCCCAGGCCCCTATTTCCTCAGAGAGTGTGTGGCATTTGGCTGGGTAGGTACAAGTTTTGCTTTTCTAAATTTTTTAAAATATATTTTTGAGGGACTTCCCTGGCGGTCCAGTGGTTAGGACTCCTCGCTGTCACTGCTGAGGGCCCAGGTTCCATCTCTAGTAGGGGAGCTCGGATCCCACAAGCCCCGCGGCACAGCCAGGAAAAAAAAAAAATTTTTTTTTAAAGAAATTTGAATCCGCTGGATACATGGTCCCCCCTCGCCCTGCACCCCCTGCCCCGGGCTGTGATCTGGGTGGAAGAGCCGCTGCTGCAGAGGGACAGAGGCGCTGGCACGCGTCTGCCTTTCTCTGGCCATGGCGTCAGGGTTGGGGGGTCGGTTCACCCCCTGCTCCTACCAGCCATTGCTGCCCCTCCTGTCCCCCCATGGGCCTCAGGACATCGGCCGCTGCCTTTGTCTGCATAAGGGTCTCTGCGGCTCGTCTGGGCGCTGGGCGGCTTGGACTTGGTGGCTGAGGCTTCCAGGGCGAGGGAGGGGCCCGGCAGGCGGAGGTTCTTGGTGGAGACCCCGCCCAAGGGTGGCTGTGCTGCCTTCCAGGTGGGCTTGGATCCTTCAGGACGCGCTGGGCATTGCCTTCTGCCTCTACACCTTGAAAACCATACGCCTCCCCACGTTCAAGGTGAGGGCCCCCCGGGGTGGTGGGAGCGCTCTGCGGATGAGGGGACGGGGTCTCTTGGGGTCAGCCCCATGCCCGCCAGCCATGCAGCCCTGCCCAGGGCCGTCCACTCTGAGCCTGGCCCTGTGTGGGCCGTGTGGTCTTGGCTCATCCGTCCCTCTGGCCTCCCTCCTGGGGACGGGACTTAAGGATCAGTGCAGAGTTGTCTCACGGCGTGGCGGCAGCGTCTGTGACCGCTGGCCGAGGGAACACCCGGGCGGGCGTGCGGAGCAGGGCCGCCTCCTTGCTGGTGAGGTGAACAGAGGAGGGAAAACCAGAAGAAACCAAGGGGGCAGAAGCACAGGGCTCGGGCCGGGACCCTGGGCCAAGGCCCAACCCCAGCAGGAGGAACCTAGAAACACACAGGCAAACGTAAAGCCGGGCGTCACCTGCCCAGACCCGCGGCTGGCTGGTCGCGGCTGTGTGGCTGTGTCTCTCTCGAGCGTCCCATCAGAAAGTCCGCCCTCCCTGAGCCTCGGGCCTGACATTGCCTCCTGGGCACCGAAGGTCAGGCTGCCCGTGCTCAGACTTTCTCCTAAAGGCTTCGTCCCCACAGGGAAATTCTGAGCCTTGGGAGAGGCAGGGACACGTCCCAGAGCGTCAGTGTGTCTGGGACCCTGGGCAGGGTGGGGTGGAGGGCAGGGCCGGTGGAGGTCCCCGAGCACAGCCCTCCGGACGCCCCGTTCCCAGGCCTGCACGCTGCTGCTGCTGGTGCTGTTCATCTACGACGTCTTCTTCGTGTTCATCACGCCCTTCCTGACCAAGGTGGGCTCTAGGGCCCCGCCCCGCACCCCCCCCCCCCCCCCCCCCCCCCCCCCCCCCCCCCC